TAATAAGTAATACATATTTTATGAAAAAGAGGATAAATAAATAAACAAGGTATGATGTAGAAACGTAATGAAAGTAGCTTATTAGATTATGTATTGGGGGATAAAAGGTTGATGGGTAGGCTCCAGGATGTTACATGTTATAGAGGGGCAACTGATATATCGATCTTATTTAGTTGTAGCTACAGTTAGAGTAAGAGGTAGATGGGAAAAAGAGGAAGGTGGCAACAACAAGTAAGAGGGAGGTGAAAGTGTATAAACTAAGGGAGGAGGAAGTTCGGGTGAGATATAAGCACTATTGGCAGAAAGGTGGGCTAGTGCAAAGATGAGTGTGGGGGGGGTTGAAGAGGGTTGGAATAGTTTTAAAAATGCAGTATTAGAATGTGGGTGGGGGCAGGAGGAAAGAGGAGTGATTGGTGGAATGATGAAGTAAAGGGTGTGATAAAAGAGAAAAAGGTAGCTTATGAGAGGTTTTTACAAAGCAGAAGTGTTAAAGAAGAGCAGAGTAATGGAGAGTAAAAGAAAGGTAAGAGAGTGGTGAGAGAGTGCAAAAGGAGAGCAGATGATGAGTGGGAGAGGCACTGTCAAGAAATTTTAATGAAAATAAGAAAAAATTTTGGAGTGAGTTAAACAAGTTAAGAAAGCCTAGGAAAATATGGATTTGTCAGTTAAAAACAGAGTAGGGGAGTTAGTAGATGGGGAGATGGAGGTATTGGGTAGATGGCGAGAATATTTTGAGGACTTTTAAATGTTAAGGAAGAAACAGAGGCAGTAATTTCATGCACTGGTCAGGGAGGTATACCATCTTTTAGGAGTGAAAAGAGCAAAATGTAAGTGTGGGGAGGTACGTGAGGCATTACGTAAAATGAAAGGGGGTAAAGCAGCTGGAACTGATGGGATCATGACAGAAATGTTAAAAGCAGGGGGGGATATAGTGTTGGAGTGGTTGGTACTTTTGTTTAATAAATGTATGAAAGAGGGGAAGGTACCTAGGGATTGGCAGAGAGCATGTATAGTCCCTTTATATAAAGGGAAAGGGGACAAAAGAGACTGTAAAAATTATAGAGGAATAAGCTTACTGAGTATACCAGGAAAGTGTACGGTAGGTTATAATTGAAAGAATTAGAGGTAAGACAGAATGTAGGATTGCGGATGAGCAAGGAGGTTTTAGAGTGGGTAGGGGATGTGTAGATCAGGTGTTTTACATTGAAGCATATATGTGAACAGTATTTAGATAAAGATAGGGAAGTTTTTATTGCATTTATGGATTTAGAAAAGGCATATGATAGAGATGGATAGAGGAGCAATGTGGCAGATGTTGCAAGTATGTGGAATAGGTGGTAAGTTATTAAATGCTGTAAAGAGTTTTTATGAGGATAGTGAGGCTCAGGTTAGGGTGTGTAGAAGAGAGGGAGACTACTTCCGCGTAAAAGTAGGTCTTAGACAGGGATGTTAATGTCACCATGGTTGTTTAATATATTTATAGATGGGGTTTGTTAAGGAAGTAAATGCTAGGGTGTTTGGGAGAGGGGTGGGATTAAATTATGGGGAATCAAATTCAAAATGGGAATTGACACAGTTACTTTTTGCTGATGATACTGTGCTTATGGGAGATTCTAAAGAAAAATTGCAAAGGTTAGTGGATGAGTTTTGGGAATGTGTGTAAAGGTAGAAAGTTGAAAGTGAACATAGAAAAGAGTAAGGTGATGAGGGTGTCAAATGATTTAGATAAAGAAAAATTGGATATCAAATTGGGGAGGAGGAGTATGGAAGAAGTGAATGTTTTCAGATACTTGGGAGTTGACGTGTCGGCGGATGGATTTAATGAAGGATGAGGTTAATCATAGAATTGATGAGGGAAAAAAGGTAAGTGGTGCGTTGAGGTATATGTGGAGTCAAAAAACGTTATCTATGGAGGCAAAGAAGGGAATGTATGAAAGTATAGTAGTACCAACACTCTTATATGGGTGTGAAGCTTGGGTGGTAAATGCAGCAGCGAGGAGACGGTTGGAGGCAGTGGAGATGTCCTGTTTTAAGGGCAATGTGTGGTGTAAATATTATGCAGAAAATTCGGAGTGTGGAAATTAGGAGAAGGTGTGGAGTTAATAAAAGTATTAGTCAGAGGGCAGAAGAGGGGTTGTTGAGGTGGTTTGGTCATTTAGAGAGAATGGATCAAAGTAGAATGACATGGAAAGCATATAAATCTATAGGGGAAAGGAAGGCGGGGTAGGGGTCGTCCTCGAAAGGGTTGGAGAGAGGGGGTAAAGGAGGTTTTGTGGGTAAGGGGCTTGGACTTCCAGCAAGCGTGCGTGAGCGTGTTAGATTAGGAGTGAATGGAGACGAATGGTACTTGGGACCTGACGATCTGTTGGAGTGTGAGCAGGGTAATATTTAGTGAAGGGATTCAGGGAAACCGGTTATTTTCAAAATAGTCGGACTTGAGTCCTGGAAATGGGAAGTACAATGCCTGCACTTTAAAGGAGGGGTTTGGGATATTGGCAGTTTGGAGGGATATGTTTGTGTATCTTTATATGTGTATGCTTCTAGACTGTTGTATTCTGAGCACCTCTGCAAAAAACAGTGATAATGTGCGAGTGTGGTGAAAGTGTTGAATGATGATGAAAGTATTTTCTTTTTGGGGATTTTCTTCTTTTTTTGGTCACCCTGCCTCGGTGGGAGACGGCCGACTTGTTGAAAAAAAAAAAAAAAAAAAAAAATATATATATTTAATATATATATATTTTATATATATATATATATATATATAATATTATATATATATATATATATATATATATACAGTGGACCCCCGGTTAACGATATTTTTTCTCTCCAGAAGTATGTTCAGGTACCAGTGCTGACCGAATTTGCTCCCATAAGGAATATTGTGAAGTAGATTAGTCCATTTCAGACCCCCAAACATACTCGTACAAACGCACTTACATAAATACACTTACATAATTGGTCACATTCGGAGGTGATCGTTATGCAGGGGTCCACTGTATACAGGAAGGCCCCACTTATACGGCTGGTTAGGTTCCAGGCTACCGCCGTAAAGCGGAAACCGCCGTAAAGTGGAACACCCTTTTTTTCCACTTACAAATGCATACAAACACTAGATAACAAGTTTACACTAACATATATTAAGTTAGCAATAGAACCAGGCATCAAAAAACAATAAAAAGTACAATACACAGTGCACTCATTACTTACCTTAAAATATTTATAGTCTTAATCTAGGGTGAGACAAGTAGTATTTATTGTAAGAAATCAAGTGTGGTATGTATGGTAGTCAGCCAGGCTACCATACCAGGCCACCCACCCAAAATACAATTCTATGATATTTAAGCATCCCAGAGCGATAAAATGTATATACAGTTCACTCATTACTTACCTTAAAATATAGGGTGAGATGAGTAGTATTTATTGTAAAAAATCAAGTGTGGTATGTATGGTAGTCAGCCGGGCTACCATACCAGGCCAACCCACCCACACATATATTCCATGATATTTAAGCATCCCAGAGCGATAAAATGTATATACAGTTCACTCATTACTTACCTTAAAATATTTGTAGTCTTAATGTAGGGTCAGGAGTAAGTAAATGAGATAAAACGAATAAATGAGAGAGAGAAAGAATGAATGCATGAGAGAGTACAGGCGCAGAGTTATGTAAACAAACCAGGCGAAGGTAAGTTTTGTAAACGAAGTGTACACGTTCTGGTTTGTGTACAAGTTACATTGTGTACAGGTTGTCTCTACATTGATACGGTAGAATAAATAAAGAAGAACACTCCATTCTCATGTAACATCATTTTGAGAAGAAATGACGCTCTGAGTGAAGGCAATGGAATAAGTCACTCTGACTTTTTTGGGTTATCCTAGGTTCTCTACGCATATGTTGTTATGTATGATAATCTATGTAATGTATTTGTGTATACCTGAATAAACTTACTTACATACATACGAAAGGAATAATTTTCTACAGTTACCCCCAGTAACACATTTTCTCTTATGTTAGATTAGAGAAAATGTTATTCTTGGCATCACTTGTACAAGTTATCTGGCTACGACCATCTCATTATTTATGTTTATTTATTCTATTGTAGGGTGTATTTATCATCTTTTTATGTTATGTATCGTGTTTATTATATAATTTTTAAAAAAATATCATGGATGGATTAATGAAAATGTGTATATTAACGTAATATACAACATTTAATAAGACTCGGTGATTATTATTATTATTAGCATTTCTAATATGGCGTCACTTGTGCAAGTCGTCTGCTACCACATCTCATATTTATGTTTATTTATTCTATTGTGGGGTGTATTTAACATCTTTTTATGTTATGTATCGTGTTTATTATATAATTTTGAAAAAATATCATAGATGGATTAATGAAAATGTGTATTTAACGTAATATACGACATTTAAATGAGACGATGATTATTATTATGATTACTAATATGACGTCTGGAGACATAAGACACTCTTACTGATTTTAATGTGTACCTGCATGCCAGCACAGTATATAAGTTTATTTAAGTACAGGTATACATAAGTATAATTATCAGAGTATATATAAAATATGAAATAACTTTTAAAAACATTTGAAATTTTGGAGTTTCCAGACAAAATGGAGAGACTTAGTGCTTACTGAGCTCACGTAGAATGTAAACAAACAAGGTGGGGCGCGGTGACCGTATTAGAAAGTCAGGTGGGGGAGCCGTATAGCGAGTTTTGGTCATAATTTGAAATGACCGTATTAGCGGAACGCCGTAAAGTGAAACGCCGTAAAGCGGGGCCTTCCTGTGTATATATAATATATATATAATATATATATATATATATATATATATATATATATATATATATATATATATATATATATAATGTGTGTGTGTGTGTGTGTGTGTTTTATATATATATATGTATATATTCTTTTGGATAAGAAAAGCTGGAAAATATTTGTAAGTAGACTATTGCCTATATATTACAGAAGATGTTTGATGCCTCCCTACCACATGAAGTTTACTACCACCGAGCTATACAGTATTATCAAAACAAGTTCCCGGGGAAGGCAGTGTTTATTGTAGCTTCTGATGATACTGTTTACGCCAAATCTAAATTAAAAAACTATAAAGATGTTATTTTTTCCCCAGGTATGTTACACTGGTTTGTCACATACACAATGCTAAGATAAAATAAATATGAAATTTTTTATCATAGTGCCCTGTGGTGCGATTATAAGAAAATTTAACACTCTTAAAGTTCTCGAGCTGTGGAAGTTATACCAAGATTAACATTATATTGGCAGGTACATCAGCAATTGAGGATCTGGCAATACTTTCTTCATGTAACCACAGCATTGTTACCATGGGAAGTTATGGATTCTGGTCAGCCTACCTCACAGGTGGAGAGGTGGTCTACCCTGATGTCCTCCTCAAGAAAGAATACAGGTAAAGACAACCAAGTAATCTTGAATGACTTAATACAAGTTACTTTAAATGCATTCATTAATCAGTATTAAAATTTAAGTGGTAATTTTTATATGTGCTTTGTAGATTTACTTGTAGTTCTACTTGTTGTATTAATTATCCATGATTTTTACCTATTCATTATAACATATCTTTCATATATCAAACTCTGCCATCACTGACAAGGAAAAATGTTTTAATAGACAGTATCCACTAATTCTTCAACAGGTTTTCCAGACACACTTATGAGAAGATTGGGATGAAATCCTTCACCCCTCTACAGCCTAACTAATGCATGATGTGTATGCTACGTCCATCCCAACTTGCTAACAGTTTATAGTAGTGTTTCCAGCTCAACTTTGTGCTATGCAACGAAATCCTTACCAGCTAAATACCTGTAATACAAGCTTGCTGTACCCCTAAAATTTGCCAAATAAGTTAACTGTTCGCAAACAACAAAATTAACAATAGATGAAAACTAGGGGTCAAAGAGTTATGGTTTTTATAACCGATGTAAAGTATTAAATTTTGTTTTGTTGTGTGGGACCAGCTGACTTCCTTCCTCACAGAATACAATATGCCTCCTTCTGATACAGATGCATGCTGATAATGCTGCAGGTACTGCTCTCCATACTATAGCATTTACTCTGTCCTTCTAACTTGTTAGTGTGACACGCAAACGTTATCAACCATCCCAGCACACTGAAAAGTTTTGTTAACTGCATGTCCCTCTACCATTCATATGACCTGCTATGTTAGATGTACTCTTGAATTAATCATACTTTGTTCAGTTACAGTCATGCATTGCATGCAGTTAAGTTGAATGTCATTCCAATTCCTTTTTAAGATGTTATGGAAAAAGTCTTAAACTATGTGATCCTCCTGTAGTTCCTCCACACTGCTATTGTGTTAAACTCCATAGTTAAACACTAGAGTGTAACAGACTACAGCATATACTGTATATTTTATTTTATATTTTAACAGACTACTGTATTTGTTACAACTTCCTTATGGCATTAACCTCCAATGTGAATTTTACTCTAAACACATTGCAACAAAAGAGAAAATGCCTCATTTCTAAAGACAGACATATATGGCTGACTCAGTTCATGATTCTTGTTCTACACCACATTAACTTTAAATCTCAAGAATGTATCCCTTTTTCAGCTCGATCATTTTCAGGTTATTATCATTATTAAATTAATGGGACAGTGCTGAAACTTTAAGGAGTCATACAGCACCTGAGGAATGAGAAGTAATCAGGTCTGATTTGAGGAAAGAAAGGGCAACTCCAAATCTTTGTCTTCCACCTGCAGGGTTTCAATCTCAGGATGACACAATGGATATTCAGAAATTTGCCATTTAGTCAGTCATCTGTTGCAGGTGAAGGGCATGGTAATTGTGATGTCGATTCCATATTTGATATAGTTTATAAAATCGTCTTTCATTACTTTTTAATGCTGTCTTGCATTTATTTACTTACTGTAGTTTCTGGAGCTAAGTCTATCCATACATTTTTCAGGACCTCCACCAACTCTGAGTTGCTGGAGATTTAGTGCTTTGCTACCTTGTATTTCAGTACCTACCAAGCATTTTCAATCAAACTTAGACCTGAGCTGTTTGGGTACCCCGTGACCTGATAGCTTAAGCTCTCGCTTCACATGACGAGGGTCTGCGTTCGATTCCCAGCACGGGTAGAAACATTGGGCGTGTTTCTTTACACTGGTTGTCTATGTTCACCCATCAGTAAAATGGGTACCTGGGTGTTAGTCGACTGGTGTGGGCCGCATCCTGGGACAAGGACGTAATTTACCCGAAATGCTCTTCATAAGAAGGGGTTTTCTATATAGTATTATGTCATTGATGTCAGCTAGGCCTGTATACCATGTACATGTTTTTTTTTTTTTTTTTCAACAAGTCGGCCGTCTCCCACCAAGGCAGGGTGACCCAAAAAAGAAAGAAAATCCCCAAAAAGAAAATACTTTCATCATCATTCAACACTTTCACCACACTCACACATTATCACTGTTTTTGCAGAGGTGCTCAGAATACAACAGTTTAGAAGCATACACATATAAAGATACACAACATGTACATGTACTTGTAGTAAATAAAGATATATTAGTATTATCTGGCTACTCCAAAACAGGGATTTCATGCTGTCTCAAGTAATCCTTGACTTTTTTTTTTTTTAACTATAGTGGCAAGGGCTATGTCATGCGTAAAGGTGCTGTCCCATAAATGTGGTGAGTGAGAAATTTCTCGTCAAGGACTTGTAAATATTTCTTCCCATTCATCATCTTACCCATGGACGGGAAATAAAGACCACTACTCTTGGTGATAAAGGGTTTATTAGCAGCTTTCTGACATATCCTCAAAGTTTTTTGCAGTAATGTTGGAGAATGATCATAGCCACTTCTTCTAAAACATCAGGATGCTTGTTCTTTAGTTCCTGAGTAGTAATTGTAGGCTTCAGCATATCTTCCTTCTTCAGAAGCACATCTTTGCATGGGGTAGTATTCCTGGGCTTCCCAGACCCACTCTTCTTAATTGGAGTAGTGCAATGAGGCAGGTTGCTTTGCAGCTTATTTAGGCTCCAGACAGACCGTGGGATACATCCCAGCTTCTCATCAATATCCTTTACGGGCTCTTTCTTCCTTAACCCTTTGACTGTTTCAGGCCCCTTTCTGAAACTCTTTCTATGTCGCTCAATTTTTAAAAAAAAAAAATTATTTTTTCTTATGAAATGATAGAGAATCTTTTCCCGATGGTAATGACACCAAAAGTTCGAAATTTGGTCGAAAACTCATAGAATTATGCTCCGCGAAGTTAGCAGTCTTGGCGACATATGCATATTGGCGATTTCGCCGACTTTGAGCCCTATTTTCAGCCAATTCCATTGTGTCAGTTGACCAAACTCATAGCCATTTCTTTAGAACTCCATTTTATCTATCAGCTGAGTACAAGAAACCTCCCATTTACTAATTTGGACTACCCAATATGGTGGTCAGAAATTGGCAATTTGGCCAATTTCATGCAAACTAAAAAAGATGCCAATTTCAAAATAGGGTCCAGAATAAACAAGGTAGACATTCGTGGCACTAAAATAACATATGCTCTGTTCATTAGTCACATATCTAGGCCCCTCTTATATTATTATTGCTTTCTATTTTGATTTTTTATTCATACAAAAAAATACAAAATTTACTGTTATGCAGACTACTGCATTATTGTAAAAATGGTATAAATAATATCAGTGCACTAGTGAAAGAATATTAGACTCCCCAGTTGAGTGTATTGGACGTGTGGTTGATTTATTTACTCCTGAACATTGGTAAAAATCGAACATTTCCGCTACTTTGAGCTCAGTTTCAAGGTCGTTTTCATCGTCAAAGTAATGAAAATCATCTCTATTTCTGTAATATGTTTTCCATTTTATCACCTAAGACCATGAAAACGCGAATACAACGATAAATACTATACGAAAATACACCTGAAAGTCGGCGTTTTATTCCAAAAAAACGATCAGAGTTTTTTTTTCTCATTACGCAATGTGTGCTGCAGGATTTTTTTTATGTGGTGCACACTGACCACACAGACCCATTCTCTCACATGTGGGCCTACCAGCTTTCTCCAGCTTGATTTGAAGCCGCTAGAATTATTGAGTATATATACGTCAGAAACATTGGCTCGTAAGACGTATTTATACGTCGAAAACAGTCAAAGGGTTAAGAGTGAAGACATGGGTCTTCTTAATATCAAGCATCAATTAACCCATTGTGGTCCGCAGGAACAGCTGTTTATTTTTATTTACAGTATTTATTTTATTTATTTTATAATTTGAACATACATACAGAGGTACAAAAAAAATACAGGTAAGAGCAGCATGCCAAAGCCACTTGCATGCATAGCATTATGGGCAGGCTTAAAATTAACTTAAGATTAACTAAGCAATGATGTAATCAGTGATAAAACATTATTGTAAACAAATAACAATAAAGCACAAATGAGTATTACAAAGACAGGTCATATGGTTGCATGCATTGCTGTACATTCAGTAGAATGGAGTATTCTGTTAGGTAGTGTATTTAAAGGATAACAAAGTTAGATTGGGTTTTAGGTTTAACATTTATGTGATATAATTGTGAGAAACATTTAAGATAAACAATTTATAAGGTTCAGTTATTCAGTATTTATTTGGTTTTGGGTGAGTAAGTGATCTTTGAGAAGAGACTTGAATTTATAAACAGGTAGTGTTTCTTTTATATTTACAGGTAATGAATTCCAGATTTTAGGACCTTTTATGTGCATTGAGTTTTTGCATAGTGTGAGATGGACACGAGGAACATCAAAGAGTGATCTGTGCCCTGTGTTATGGTCATGTGTTCTGTTGAGGTTGGCAAGGAGATGTTTGAGGGGAGGGTTAATATCAGAGTTAAGTGTTCTATGTATGTAATAGGTGCAGTAATAAGTATGGATGTTTTGTATGGTGAGTAGGTTTAGTGTTTTGAATATTTGTGGAGTGTGCTGCCTGTAGTGGGAATTTGTTATCATTCTGACTGCAGCCTTTTGTTGGGTAATTAGTGGTCTAAGATGGTTAATTGTTGTTGAGCCCCACAAATTCCATAGGTGAGATAGGGGGTAAATAAGAGAGTGATATAGGGCCAGGAGGGCTGACTGTGGAACATAGTACCGTATCTTCGATAGTATGCCTACGGTCTTGGAAATTTTCTTAGAAATTTGTTGTATATGTGTATGAAATTTGAGTCTATTATCAAGGTGGATTCCTAAGAATTTTCCCTCTGTTTGCTTTGTGATAGGTGATCCGTTTATCATTACGTTAAGAGGGACATCTGTAGCTCTGTTACCAAACTGAATGAAGTAGGTTTTGTCAATGTTTAGTGTAAGTTTGTTAGTGCTCATCCAGGTAGATATTTTCTGTAATTCGGTATTTACAGTATTGGCTAGCATGACTGGGCTCGGGTGAGAGAAGACATATGTAGTGTCATCTGCAAATAGTGTGGGTTTGAGTAGTTGCGATGCATTTGGTAGGTCATTTATGTATATGAGAAAGAGAAGAGGGCCTAGGACACTTCCCTGTGGGACACCAACTGTAATTGGTTGTGCGGAAGAGTTTGCCCCATTTGTGTACACACATTGGCTTCTGTTGCTGAGGTATGACTTAAGGTAGTTGAGGGAGTGCCCTCTTATACCATAGTGTGACAATTTTATGTGGAGCAAGTCATGGTCAACTGTATCAAAAGCTTTATGTAAGTCAATGAAGATCCCCAGTGGGACTTCTTTTTTCACTATTGCAGTGTATATATGTTCTAGCATGTGTATAATAGCATCATTAGTATTTTTATTAGGCCTGAATCCAAACTGGCAGGGGTTGAGTATGTTTTGGGAGATGAGGTAGGAGTAGATTCGTTTATGAATTAATTTTTCGAAGATTTTTGAGAGAGGGTGTAAGTTGGATATTGGCCTATAGTTATTCAACTCTGTTTGGCCTCCTTTATGGATCGGGGTGACCCTTGCTATTTTGAGAACTGTAGGGAAGGTGGAGAATTCAGTGGATTTGTTAAAGAGTGTTGCAATGATTGGTGATAGCACTTGTGACACTTTTTTGTATATGAAGGGTGGTAAGGTATTTAAATCTCCTGCCTTGTTTTTTAGTGTGTTGATAATAAGGGAGACTTAGTATGGGTTAGTCGGAGCCAGGAACAGTATGTTCGGGTAGTTGCCAGTGAGGTAGTCATTTGGTGGGGTATCTGAGCTTGGGATTTTATTGGCAAGGTTTTGTCCTATAGTGGAGAAGAAATCATTGAGTCTGTTTGCTGTTTCTGTTGGTGGGAGTTGGGATTCATCTGATTTTGCTAATTTTATTTCGCTATTTTGTGATATCTTTTTTGTTCCTAGAATTTCTGATAGGGTTTTCCAGGTCTTTTTTATATCACCTCATAAGTTGGATAATCTGTTCTCATAATACAATTTTTTTGCCCTTCTTATCAGGCTGGTTAGGATTGACGAATAACGTTTTGTTTGGTCTCTGGTTATGTGACCCATTCTGTACTGTTTTTCGTATAGGTGTTTTGTATTTATGGATTTGAGAATGCTGGGTGTTAGCCAGGGACTGTTCAGTCTCTTGGCTGTCATCTGTTTAGTTTTTTTTGGGGCAGTGCTTGTTATAGAGGTATTGGGTCTTTTTTAGAAAATTATTAATACATTCATCAATATCTGTATAGATTTCTAGCTCAGTGTGCTAGTCAATGTTTGTTACTGCTGTTGTGAAGTTATTAATGGCTGCCTCATTGTGAAGTCTGAAGGTGACTTTAGTAGTGTCTTGGGGTAATTTACCAAGAGTTGTTATGAGGAAGGTAGGGTAGTGGTCTGTGGTATTATCTGTGATTATGCCTGATTTTGAAGGGGATATGGTGTTGGTCCAGATGTGGTCTAGTAGGGAAACACTAGTCTCTGTAACTCTTGTAGGTTTTGTTACTGGTGGTAGCAACATGCAGTTACTCATTGTGTTTGTGAATTCAGTAACGTGTGGGTCCTGGTCTTGCAGGAGATTTATATTGAAGTCACCTGAGAGTAGTAAGTGATCTTTGTTCATGCGTGCATCAGTTATCATACTTCCTAGGTTTTGACTAAATCGGCTAATGTTTGACTGTGGAACTCTGTAGATGTTTATCAATGTGAGAGGTTTTTGTAGGTATTTGGATTTGAATTTAGCTATTATATATTCCCCATGTTCATCCCTTGTGCAAGTATTAGTGATACATTCTAGTTGGTCTGAGTAGTATATAGCTGTGCCACCCCCTTGTTGATCTGGCCTACAGTTGTGTATGGCTGTGTAACCAGGAATGGCATAGATATCTGTAGTATCAGGCTTTAGCCAGGTTTCGGTGAGAGTAATGATGGACATACTGGCATGCAGGGAATTTAGTAATGCTGTGAGGTCATCGTAATGTTTGCTTAAAGATCTGATATTGTAGTTAAAGACAGTTATGTTGTTGTTGGCTCTGAGAAGTGCCTTTGATTGTTCTGCTGTGCAGTAATTACAGTAACTGTTTGATTCATTTAAGTCATTAGATAAAAGGTTGGTATCAGGATCAATGCTTGTAATCATAAGATTTGTAGTGAATCTATAGTTATAATTAAGTATAAAACAAAGTAAATATTCTAAAGCTAAAATTATTTAACAAATGTAAAAATGATGAGCTAAGGTAGTTTTTTTAAAGCTAAAATAAAGGAGACAATATAAAAGGGACTAAAATAATTTGTGGTGAACAAATAAAGTGATGATCAAATAATGGAGCTTGGGAATATGATAGTAGGTAGTACTTTAAAGGTAATTCTTTAAAGTTAGAATTAGGGAAAACAATATAAAAGGGACTAATATAAGTTGTGGTGAACAATAAAGTGGTAATCAAATAAGTGAGTTTTGGAATATAATGGCAAAATTGTGAACTTATTACACTTTAGCACCTGAGAATAGCACCTTGATTATTTTAACAATTGTGAATATATGAACTAGGGTAGTTATATAAAGCTAAAATAAAGGAGAAAATATATAAGGGACTAAAATTAAGTAATGGTAAACGAAGTTAAATGGACAGATGGTCACTATGAAATGATATTGGTTTAAGAGTAAGATCTGATTTGTAATATTAAGTAAGTTGAGCAGTTTATTGCACAATAAAAAGTAAAAAAAAAAAAAAAAAATATGAGGTAGTTGGTACTAGCTAGCAAAAGATAGTTTTGAGACTTGCAAAAAAGTAATTGGAATATACACTAATTACACACACAATAAAAAGTGACTAAAACAAGTAGTGGTAAACAAAATTAAATGGACAGGTAAGAACAATGAATAACATTAATTTGGAGTAAGATTTGACTTGTAGCATAAAATTATGAGCAATTAATAGCAGTAAGAAAGAAGTATAAAGTATTGGAGGTAGTTGGCATTAGCTAGTGATGAAAAATAAAAAAAATAATAATGCACAATATAATAGTAACGTACACTATATGTACCACACGTATATATGTATTAAGGGCACTTATCTAATCTGTTACTGAAATGTCAGCTTTTCTAAGGAAGGTAGAGAAATCGTGTTCGTTTGAGATAGTATATTGTTGTCCTGTTGATGTTTTCCTTACAAGTATTTTCCCATCTCGTGTGAAACATTGATGTATTTTGTTTTCCTGTTTAAGTTTTCTCAGCCTGAACGGAAGGTTTTGACGTTTTCTTGTTAGACACTCATTTATGTACACTCC